GAATGGGCAACGTGGATTTCCAGCGATCACAGAACGGTGAGTTTGCACATACCAATCTCCTAATTTTCACATTCATGATCGAATGCAGGCACCGGGATGAGTGCTGGAAAGAAAGGGGAGCCGAAGATGCTGATCGCGGAACTGCAGCGGATATCAAACCACACTGGGCAGAACAAGTGGTCCACTGATGAGCTTTACAAGATTGCAACGAGTAAGTCATTTTAGGTGACTCCGACCCTTCTTGCTGATAATTTGTGAGGCATAAAAATCTCAACTTCTAACTTTACCAATATGCTGGACTCACTTAACAACCAAGGCGAGCTCTTAAATGCTTCTTTGCCGTCGTTCGAGCTCATTGGAGACTTTTAGGATATTTGCTGAACAAAGGGAATCGAACATATCAACTATTTTAGTGGCATGGAGAGAATTCATTAAATATCATATGCGCAATTTGCAGAACACTGCGAGCAGCTTTGCGCGTCCGGTTCCAAAATGTCCACTCTCACCGTCATCCACCACTCTGAAGATGTGGTCGAGTTTGTGGTTGCGAAATCTTTAGGGCACAGCTTGCCTCAAGCGGCAATTACTTGCTGTTTTGGATCGCTCATGGTGTATTTCCTCACTGTGGTGAGTTCAAGGTGGGATTTCGGTTTTGCTGTATGAAACACTTCGACTTTAGGACCCCACTTATGCAGTTTTTGCGAACATCATTATTTTGTTGGCGATATGTTGGACGTCTACGAATAAAGGTATCTCGTCCCACGTAACAAATAGTTGCAAAACCAATCTCTTAGCGTCAGAGTCCTTCCTGGCGATTAAAGGTGTGGGACTCCAGTTGAAGAGCATTAGCACAATCGGGCTTCAGAAGTCTTCAAAGTTTCTCCCCCATGCCGACGTGCTAGATCTTGTGGTTACGGAATTCCTTCACCGCTTCACAATAAAGACCTGCCTTGCGGTAATAGTAAGAGGGCAGGAGAATGCAGAATTGGTGTTCGGGGTATGTTCCGGCCACGTCAGTAGTTTATTCCAGGCTGATATTGATCTAAAGGAGACAATGCCAAATCTTTCGATAGTCCAACAGGTCTATAGCCATGCATACAAGCTGATGTACCAAGCACCTGGGCCAGAAGGGGAAACTGAACTCAAATGAAATGCTTGCGGTTAATACATCTTTATTTATGCTTTAAAACCCGATTCGCCCTGAAGCACATTACTGGCCAGTGTAGTTCGTGCGGGCCAAGGCGGGCTTGTGCGAGTCTCTGTGAGCATGGGCGATGTACTTCTTGACGAAAGACTCTTCCGCTTTGCTCTCGTAAGTGACGGCTGGGATGGGCTTCGCCTTGTTGTACTGGATGATTGCAGTGATGCCGACACCGTAGAAAGCCATGACGTAAAGTGCAACCTACGGACGAAGAAAATGAACAGTGGTCTGGTGCATGACCTAACACGGGATCTACCTTGTAGCGCGGAACTTGCCTGCCGAAGACGTGGTAGGGCTCATACGGGTTTCCTCCGGCCATTGTGAGTTCTACAGCGTAACACGGCAGTCAGCACAGCCCACAGTCGCCCATCCGGCATGCTCCGGTTTTGGGACTCACCTTTTCAGCAGGTTGAAAATCACGTGTGGCGAATGGTTGCCAGCAACTTGAAAATCGCACCAGGGGATAATCTGAGGGAGGCGATCGACGAGGGTAAAAGACTATGCACGGAATCGAGCGCACTCGGAACCAAGCTAGCTGAGCTACAGAACGATGGGGATGCTCGGCAGAGCTGCGTTCCACACGACACGGTGATTCAGCTGTCCACATTTCTGACACAATGTTTGAACTCCCTTTCCCAAAACTGAAGCTTTGCTTATTTTTATATTAGCCACAGGAGACAGAGAGAAGTACCGCCTACACAGCCTACTTAAAGGGAGCAGGCTTACATTGGATAGCCCACCTCCAAGAAAGAAGGTAATATCTCAATTTATTTTTTGGTCCAAGCTCATTGTGTTCTACAGAGCCCAGAACTCCTTAAAATTCTTGATGATGTGAAAGCGGAACTTGGGAAGAAGGAGTATGAGTCAATGGTGCAAGGTCTGACAAAGAAGGGCAGAGTGGTGTTGGAACCTGAAGATTCTGCTGCTCTCAAAGAAGTGTCAAAAGTAGCAACAACGCTCATCAACATGGGGTTTTCAGTATTCGGTGTGGTAGTGGCAGTATTTTACTTTGGTGACTCAATCACAACAGATGTGTCAATGGTAAGTTACAACCTTGTCGACACAACCAATCCATTTCTAATATATCAATATTCCTTTAGAAGACTTTGATTGCTGTTGCATCAGCCTTGATTGTGGTTATTGCTGAGGCATTTGTGCTCACACGTTACGTGTTGATTCCTGAATCTTAAAAAGCTCAGGCAAAAAACATTTTGATTGTAGATATTTTGTTGCTTCATTCTTGCAATATAATCAATTGAAAGTTTTGACCATCACTATCGATGGGTTGTTATATTGTGACACAGCTTGAATACTGGAACAAATGAGCTGTGCATTATCACATGTAGACTACAGGACAAAACAAAGTTTAGACAACACCTCGAACTGTGTCGGAGAGAGTCCTTGCCAGGTTTCTTCGCGCTTAATTCTATCATACTTGGTAACAACACCAACAAATATTTTTGCTGAAGGCACAGCTTATCCAGGCTAACTTTGGGTACATTTCTCTGAATAGAATCGATATGTGCTGGATAATTGATGATGATAGTGTCTAGGTCTATACTTTCTGGGAGCCTGATTGCCATTGTGTCTGGGTCAACACTTAAGTTGTCTCTGAGAATATCGTCAAACACTACATATATAAGACTTGCTAGTGTCTCTGAGAATATCGTCAAACACTACATATATAAGACTTGCTAGCGTCTCTGAGAATATCGTCAAACACTACATATATAAGACTTGCTAGTGTAAGGAAAGTATTTATCATACCTTCCTAGAATCATGCTGCTACACCACACCCAATGGGTTTTCTTGATGCTTTGCCTTCAATTGGCTGGACGCAGCCTTCCAAGTTTATGTGGCGTTGCTGGTGCCTCTTTGTGGGCATTATTGGGGCCTATTTATGTGTCAACAATTTTTACACAAGGCCCCCAAGCCCTCATATGCTGTCCGCCTTACGTCCTCCCGTCTGGCAGATTTTGGTCCGTATGGCGAACTGTAGAATCGGTTCTGAGCTGCTTGATGGTTGTGTACAAGCTCTCTTGATTTGTTAAATCTCCCGCTTGGAGTTTTGACGGCAATGCAGCATCCAACTAGATACAGCAATGGGATCATCCATTGCCTATAAAGCTGAATATCTTATTGACCAAGTGTCCTCAGTACAAGGCAACAGTCACAAAGCATCTGCAGGTAGCCTGGCCTATGCACTATTATAGCGCGATTTGCAAATTCCATTAACTTCAAACACATTCGTGCATATTTTCTGTTAGAACCTTAGTAATTCTTCGACCACAGCAAAGCTTCATGATCTACAACAATTGAGGAATGGAAATCCCCATACAGGAAGCTGGCACTTTCGGCACTTTCCAGTAAGGATCAGTGGGTTTTCAGGTCTTTCGAGTCAGGTCCAGGTCCATTGACCAGTGTACCTGATCTGATAGTCAGGTTTTCAGGAGAATATGAAGCAAAACCTTTATCAGGTCAAGATTCAAACCTGAGTAAAACCTGATGTGATAAGACAGCTAAAAGGAAGCTATTGTCTTTCTGTCCACACGGACACTTTCCAAGAAGACGCAATATGGGTTTTGTATTAAACAATTTCTATCACAACAGACATCAAAATGTATTCTCTCCACCCGGACACTTTCCAAGAAGTCACAACGGAGAAACAAACAATTTCTACCACAACAGACCTCGAGAGCTGTGCTTTCTGTCCACCTGGACACTTCAAGTCCATAACATTCCAGCACATCACAACAAAAATGGACGCTGCCTTTGTTAAACGAAAGCGTAACTAAGCCGACGCAACCCAAAGACTGGTGGACAGCCATCTGCTTGACACATGGAAGCGAAGTCTGCCAGCCCCCCCCCAAATTTCAGAGGCGTCCAATGAGGGAAACAGCATGCAGGACAACCGCAGTTTGAAGCTCCATTAGTGATGGCTTGGAAATAGTTGTTGAGGGAAACTCCAATTAGAACTGTCGAGTCTTTGTTTCTTTCATAAAAAGTTTTCCTTGTTTGTTTTTGTTCTTTCAAAAGAAAAGTTCAACTGAGGATGTCAAAAAGACGCGAGTCCAATCTCGAAATTGATCTCGTGACTTCACATTCTAGGATTAGTGGCTTACCCACCACAGTATGTTTGTGCTGAGAATTGGGCTTCACTTGATGCTTTTATTTGTGGATTTCATATTCGTGGACAGAAACATTAAGCTGGCGCTCCGGAACTTTCCAGACAACAGCAGGCTGGGAGGGACTTACCAAATGAGGAAGGAGAGCGGCGCTGCTGACGTGGCCAGGACAAATTAAGGGAGGCTTTGTTGGGAAAATGAGAACCTATAAAAGGAGTGAGTCTTAAGCTTCCAATAGATAGTGAACAAGTACCTCTTATCATTGATCTTATCTGCATCCCAAGAAACTCCATAAGAGGTTGGGTCCAAAAAACCTGTTTGATTAAGTCCGTGAGGTTAACATCTTCCATCAGGGAGTAGTTAGCCATGCGAATGTTGTAGGCGGCAGTCACAGAGTTGCATCGACTGATGGAATTTTGAGCAGGCAGTTGAACATTTTCCATCATAGTTGCAGATCTTTTCTCGATGGGATTGAGCTGATTGCCAGAGCCAAGTTATCCGCAAGTGCCACACGCTGCATCACAAGAGCGTTGTTCTCAACTTCAAGCTGTATGAGCAATAATGCTGATTCGACGCACTTGGGACTGCGATCCAGCCTGATTGATAAAAACCTGAAGGTTTGGTGTGATTGAATATTGATTGTACTTGTAATGACACTTGGAACTTGTAGCCAAGTTCCAGTAGCTCAGTGGTTAGAGCAGCTTTATGCAAAGCTGAAGGTCAGGGATTCAAGTCCCCTCTGCAGACTCTCCAGCTTACGCTCTTGCAGCCCGATCCTGATACCTCGACAATGTCGACATAAAATGCGTAAAGTAATCGAAACTGGTAACAAGTAATTCTGAGTGTTCAGGGAAGTGTTTGCGTATCCGGCAATACTTTCCTGAGTGAACACACGAAAAGGCCCAAAAAGGTAGGTAATTCGACCGGTTAAAAACCAAGGGCTTCTTGTAGCAGTAGTAAGGCGTTTTTAGCTGTGTTGTAGCTACCACAAAAGCTCCAGGTTCTGTCTCTTGGCCGAGTTGAATATGGGGTGATGACAATGCAAAATTCCCTTGTTATAGAAAAGCTCTCTGTGGCAAATACAAATCAAGGCTGGTAAAAGCCTACCAAGGAAGACTGTGGTGTTTGAGTGTTCGGTAGATGGTTCCACTGTCTCCTATATCTATACCTGTGGTGTGTGAGTATTTGGTTGATGGTTCCACTGTCTCAAGGAATCAAAACACACACACACACACACACTAAATTCCACACATTTTCCCACACACACACATAAACAAACAATATGATGAAACATATGAACAGACAGTGCAATACATGACCCCAGTAGAGCACAAAAACCTCTCAAGCCCAAGAGATAAAACCATTGCCAGAAATCAATGATCAAACTCTCGAAAGTCACTCAGAATTTAACAATCACGTTCGAACTGAGTTGCCCTACTCCTACTACGCCGATTCACCACAGTATTCTACAATAAACAACTTCCTCGCTCCCAACATGTCAACTGTGACTTTCAACTTCTCACTTTCTTTGCCCTCTCTTGCCAACACAATAACACAAATGGAATTGAAGTGACAGCTAAATTTAAGGAGACTTGATGTGAAAGTAAACTGGCGCTGAAGTGTTGGCATTGTCGTGTGCTATACAATCACACTCTTTGGTGATACTGCATCCTTAATTATCAGTAAACAATTAAGCACATCTCCTAATAGCAGCAGAGTAATATCTTGTTTATGCCAATCCTGCACAGAGCCTCTTGGAGATAAACTCTCCATCCTCAAAGTCAAATATCTGTGTTGCAGCATCACACTTAAAAGTAGGTACAAACTTTTGGGAAAATGTAAACTGATCAATCAGCTCAACAAACAGACACTACACTAAATCAGACCTCATGTAAATATTCTATGTATTGAAATATGTACTATTTTTGTGATTAACAGATGTAAAGAGACTAGAAAGAAACCAAACTTGCTTGTACTTTCTTGTGTATCGTAGAATGTTCTTATGCTCGCTTATACACATAAAGATATTGTGAGCATCAAGTTATTCTGTATATGTTTCACACTTAAGTCTTCAAATTGTCTCCTTTTGGGATTAAGCAAGTCATGTAGAGAAGTTTACATAGTGGAAGGAATGCAACAAAAGCACAAGTAAATTGTACACAAAAGAGTCTATTGAAAGATTATATAGTGGTTGCTTGATTGTTGTAGGGCTGAAGTAAAGAGCTATTTGTCTGCATCAGAGTGTAGAGATCCTGGGTAAATAGTTGCCTTGCTTTTGCCATTGCATGTTGGATTCTTTCGTCCAGTATTTTGGTTAGTTGTGCCTCTTGGTCTATATCTGCGTTTACAGTTTTCAGACTCATTGCTCTATTTATTGGGAAGAAACTGTAATCCTGCATTTCAAGCATCTCTGAAACATATGATTCATGAGATGTATACTCTGTTGGATCTTTAATTTGCAGATGAACAATGAAAAACAAGTAATGCATCAAGTTATGCTCCTTCTTGAGATGGTGAGCAAAAGAAACTGCATTTCTGTCAAATTCACTGGCATTAATGGAGCATACAAAACAAGTTGATTTAAGGTCATTAAGAATAGATTGATGTTCTTCTCTCAATTGACCAAATGTATCAAATATGATACCCTAAAATATTTGTTAGGACAGGTATCTTGAGTTGCAAATTGACTTACAAAAATAACATTCAATAGGAAAATAATCACTATAAGAAAGAACGACAAATCTAATGCCACTCTCGCAGCATAGGATTCTTTATTACTGTCATGGACTTCTAATAAGTCTCCAATACCACCACCAGCACGGATTCTGAAAGATACTTTAGCATAAAAGAGTACAAAAAGAGAAGGATATTGAAACCACTTACCCGTGACTCAGAATTGTAATGAAACATTCGGAAAGAGAGTTGCAATATAATCCCTTTTGGTTATCAAACTTTGTGTGAAAGAAGTTGAAAGAAACAACAGCATAAAGATATATAATAATGAGACCTAAAATAGCCTTTCATGTGGATTGAATAAGAGGTGCAGAGAGTTAGAATGTAGCTTACCGTTTTGAATAGGGAGGTTTTGTTTAACGTCACAGACTGAATAACTCCATGAAGAACAGCATCACGGAAAACGAAGTCTAACAAATGAATAGAATAAATTGCAGGATATATCAATCCACTGATAGATAGAGCTGCCATTGAAATAAAGTAGGCAAGTCTGAGATCATGACTTGCATAATTGAATAGCTCAAAAGCTCTCAAAGTTAGCCTGTGTCGAAGAAAGCTTTGGTAAGCTGAAGTAATTGTGAAACATAATTCTGAGTTAGATTCTATTTGACTGTCTGCAACACCCAAAACGCTGTCTGATAAGACACTTGTTGATGATTGAACAGTATTTCTGTGCTTCAGTCTATCATGTCTTTTAGATTGATGTTCAATTTTAAATTGATGCATAGATAGAGGAAGTTGCACATTAATAAATTCAAGTGTTGAGAAAATCCAAAAGCAAAAGTGCAGTAGGCACATATTTTTTTGAAAAATGAATATCCTGTAATGGCAGCTTTTCATTGTTTCTAATGTATTGCACATTAAATTGATCAAGTTGATAATAATGGCAACAGCGTACGCTGACTTCCACCATACTGCTCTATTTCGTGCCAAAATAGTCAGCCACTTATTTTTGGCAACGCGTGCCTGATTGTGCAACTCATGGTTCATAACAGCACTGTGGATAACAAAATCCTAAATATAATCTCCATTAGTGTAATTTACTGACAGTAATGACTAATCTTTACTTGAATCTTCTCTTGTGGAGTATTCCTCAACTTTGACCAAAGGAATTTTTCAATTGTATCTGCAGGCATATACTTACAAACTTCTGGAATAGGGAATAACACACGATGGAGTGTTCGATCATTTGACTTTGGGACTGTTTTCAGAATCTCTATTTGGCCAATTCTCTTTTGGAAGTATTCAAAAGGAGAATATCTACACCATTTGTTTTGTTGTACTTCATCCATTATGGGCAAGAGAGTGAGAATTAGCATTGAAATGAGATAACCACACTCAAGGCAATTTGTTTCACTTTCTTGATCATAGTCCACCAAATTTTCTTTCTTGCATTGGCGATAGTTATCAATCTCAGAGCTTAAAAGTTTTGGAGAATTTTAGGTTTAGAAGGGAATGAATAATGTGTACCTACAGTATTTTTGCAAGTGCATCAAAATCTAATGTTGCATTGATCTCTTTAAGCATAATGAGAGTCTCTTCAGAATCATCTTCAATCAATGAAAGTAGACATAGAACTGCGTGACCTTTAACTCTCATGCTGCTTTCATATGGGACACTGGTGCAAGCATTTCTCAATATTGAATTAACTGGATATATTATCTTAAAACCAAAAATATCCAACTGATTTGCAGAGCATCCCTAAATAGCAATCAATCATTATTTTTTGGAAGAATGTGGTGTTGAAATACCTGCGACAAGTCAACTAGAGTATCAAACACTTGAATAATTAGTGTTATATTTTCTGAGTTAAGAATTGGCACTACTGTTTGCAGATACTCAACACAGTCTTTCACAAGATTAAACCTATTAAAATTGAATTGACAAAACACTTCAAAACCAATTTGACACATACGATTTTAAGTTATCAGGCTGATTACGCACTATTAACTTCATTTCAGCAATTTCAACCTGTTCAGATATTTGAAATTACCGTAGTCTTGTAATCCTATATTATGCCCCTCAACAATCAGTTGAATGAGGCGCATAACATCATTTGTTCTGCTGTATTCTGAGTTCATTATATCACTTCACTTCAGTGAGTATGGCTGCAAGTAATGAAATCAAGCTCCATACTTACTTTACTTTCTGGTCCAGAACATTGTGATTACTGAGTAGAAGTCTTCTTTTGGTATGTGAAATAACTTCAATTGACTTATGCAATTGTGCATGAAGACAAAAGAAAAATCTCTCTTCTCTTAAGTAGAAATTAAGTTTATTATCTTCCTTAATTTATCTGCTCATATGATATACCTTGTCCCTAGCCAGAACTCTTCCAGAGTATCTTGAACTTGTTTATTACCACCATTCAAAAGAGCAATCAATAACTTTAGAGCTGATGTCATAATTTCAGGCCTGTTGCTTGTGAGGAGCCTCTCTGCCATCAATGTGCAGCCTAATCTTGAAAGTTCATTCTGTATTGAAGATTTCTTCACTTCTAAACGGCTCCACAGTTCTGGCTCTTTAGACCTCGAACATTCCTCCAATTGTTCAATAACATCATGCACAATCCTTCTTAAAATTTCGATTGATTGAATAACAAGCTGGTGAGCAGTTTTCCCTTTAAGGAATCAATTAATCTTCGTTAATTAGTTTGGGTCATAAATATACCATCTAATCGCACTGGTCTCATATTAACAACATGATTTAAGTAAGAAATTAGCTGCTGTGAAGGAATATTTTTGATATCTCTCTCTCTGAAAGGTTTTGAGGTGTCAATTTGAAATATCTCAACTGAAAAGAAAATGAATCATTCCTAAAAGTGGAGTTGACTACTTACCTAATCCAAGAAGTTCAATTTCTGGAAACAAAATTAGATTCAAAAGTTGATGGTTATGAAAAAACTATAACCTTTCAATTGCAAAACAAATTTGTCACAGTTGATAAAAGAATTAATAAAATTTGATAAAGCAGTATTATATTGATCCCAAATTGAGATGGTTTTACTGGATGTTT